TGGCTACCGCTCCATCAATGAAGACCTTGGGTACTATCTTCCTAGTGGCGATTTCTCTCATTGTATGCTTCATCCTCAACCGCTAAGCCATACTTTGAGTGTGAGTGAGTATGGTAACTCATCGTGAACTTTCTAAACATTAATCATGTGATTTTATTACATATTTGTTTTTACTGAGATAATTTCAGATCTATCTTAACTTGTTCTAAATTTCTAGTCTTGTAATTGCTTATCATAATAAAATTGACGATTGAGAGTTCTTTTATCTCGCCTTACGAAACATTGTTCTTAAGTAGCAAGCATCGTGCATCTTTTAATATTTCTGTGCAATTCATATGTCTCACATCAAAATGCCTCATCTCCCTTTGCATTGCTGGGATGAGATTAATATAGCCAAGATTGCTTCCAAGGTGGGTGTTCCCTATGCTCCTTGATGGAAACATGTTCAAATGGGGAAGAAGGAAATTCGCAAGAGTTTTTGTGTGAATTAATCTGGATACAAAATTTCTAGGAGGTATTTGGGTGGATTGTTTGGGTGGAAGTTTTTTTCAGAAAATAGAGTATGAGAAAATCTTTTATTTTTTGTTTTAAATGTGGAGAGATTGGGCATAAGGAGAGTTTGTGTCTTGAATTAAATGTTGTTGTTTACAAGATTAATCCTCATAATAAAGATGCACCAATTACTATTTCAGATGAAGGCAATAATGGAGGTTTGAATAAATTGTAATATGGTGAAATAGAGTATGGGCTGTGGATCCACGTTAAATTTCAGAACAGGAAGAGGAAATTTGCTAGAAACAAGTAGCTAAACATGAAAGATTCTAAGTAGGAGGTTCCTTCTCGGGCTAGACTCAAAGAAAATGGTATGGGATATTCTACTGTCATTCAAATTGAGGAAGATCGTGAGCTGAATAATAATCTGGATAATTATTTATTAAATACAAACAAATTCAGTTTGCTTATGGAGCCTACCGGTGATAAAGATAAAGACGATGAACAAATGAATCTAGATGCACTAGTTACTAATGTCTATTATAAGGATAATATAGTTGACTGCAATGAGAATTCAGAAGGTAATCAGACCTTGCGGATTAATGCAAATGGAAGTGTGGAATGTAATGCTAAGGAAGTATATAAAAGTCTGAATGCAAATAATTCTAGTTCTCCTGGAATTCATAGTTCTCAGTTGGCGTTGGGAGTGAAGCTTGTTAATAATGAATCAGCTACTCTTGAAGATAATCCAGTTGATAGTGGAAATGTTGAACGTTCATCAGCAGACTTTGATGTTAATGGGAATGCTTCTATGCAAATAAATAAAAATTTATCTTCTACAAGTGCTATTATGGAGGCGAGTTCTGTTAGAAATAAACAGAAGCTTGCTAAAGAAGTTAAATCTTTAGGGCCCATTGATGATATCCCAAGAAAAAAGAAGAGGAGAAGGCAGTGGTTCGCATGGTGCTTGGGACGATGTCTTCTTTCTTGTTTTGGAATTGCAGAGGAGCCATTTTTTAAAAAAGAAAGAAGATTCTCTGTATCTTAGGGAGTTGGTGAGGGATAATGAGGTGTTTTTTATTGGGTTGGTAGAGATGTGGTTGTCTTGTTTGGATAGAAAGGAAGTTAATAGGATTATTGGGATGTATTGGGATTTTTTTCATCATCCTGCTAATGGTACTTCTTGAGGTATTCTTGTTTTGTGGAATAGGTCGGAGGGTAGTTTTGATGTTGTTTTTGACTCATCTCAGGTTGTGTTTGGGTGTTTCAAAATTCCTAATAAGGGGTTTTGGAATGTTGCTATGATGTATGGGAGTAAGGATGTGTGGGCTAGAAGATGTTTATGGGAGAGTCTTGGTAAGGTATTGGTGGGTGATATTCCTTCTATAGTGGGAGGGCATTTTAATTGTATTTTGTCCAAGGAAGATAAAAGAGGAGGGAAAAGGCTTATCCTCCCAAGGTTCTCAAGAAATGAAGTCCTTTTTAACTAACAATGATTTGCATGATGCATGTATTGTTGGAACAAGTTAAGGTATACTTGGTGCAATAATAAGGATGTCAATTCGAGGATTTGGGAAAGGTTGGATAGATGCTTGTTGAATTCTGCAATTCTTCAGCAAGTCCCTTATGCTATGGTAATGCATCTAGCGAGAGTGGCTTCAGATCACTCTCCTATTATTTTTAAGTTAAAGGATACTTCGAGGATGATGTTTGGAATTCATACCCTGCAGCGTGAAATGTGGTGCTTAAAGCTTGGAGAAGATCTGATTTTGGCAATGAGGCTGAAATTCTAAAGAGGAAGTTGAATAGAGCACTGAAAGCATTGTATTATTGGAATAAGAATAAAGTTAGGGACCTATCTGTATTGAAGGAGGCTTTGAAGAAGGAGATTATGGAGTTGCAACATAAAGAAAGCTTGGACGAGGGTTTAAATAAGCAAGATATGCTTCTGTTAAGGAGTAAGGTGCATGAGATGAACGTCACATTACGGTTTTTGTGGAATCAGAGAGCCAAAACAAGATGGATCCAAGAAGGTGATACAAATTCAAAGTTTTTCATGACTATGATTCAGCTAGAAGAAATGGGAAGCAAATTAATCAAATAAGTGATGCTAGTGAAGGCCTTGTGGTAGATCAAGATAAAATTAAATCAGCTTTCCTTAAATTCTTCAATCAGAAATGGAAGCAAAGGGATTGCAACCTCTCGGATTGGCCTAAATCGTTTAATCAACACAGAATTGTTAATGCTGAATGGAATATGCTTAATGCTGATTTTACTCAAGATGAAATGCTGGAAGCTGGCAAGAGATGCTTAATGCTGATTTTACTCAACAATAAATCTCCAGGTTTGGATGGTATTACCGCTTCATTTATTAAGTTCTACTGGAGTATCATTAAAGACGATGTATGGAGGGCAGTTAATAGATTTTTCACTAAGGGAGAGATGCATCCTGAGTGGAAGGATACATTAATTGTTCTAATCCCAAAGGTTAAGAACCCATTGGAGCCTTCGCAATTCAGACCAATTAGCTTGTGTCAATCGATTTTTATAAGGTGGTGGCTAGAATGATAATGAGCCGTGTGAAATATTGTTTGCCCAAAATCATTGCCGAAGATCAAATTGCTTTTGTACCTGGTAGATCTATGTCGAACCATTGTTTATTGGCTCAAGAAATCTTCAATAAGTTCAGATTTTCCAATTCCAAGAAAAGACTTATGCAGGTAAAAGTTGATATGGAGCAAGCATATGATTGTTTGAGTTGGCCAACACTAGCTGAGTCTTTAAGTTGGTTTGGTTTTCCTCCAAGACTCATTAATCTTATTATGGAATGTGTTCAAAATGTGAGATTTTCTATACTTATTAATGGTAGAAGATCTGGTTGGATTTAAGCTAAAAGGTTGTTTAGGCAAGGATGTCCATTGTACCCTTATTCGTATATATTGTGCTCCCAACTTCTTTCTAATGCTATATATCAAAGGGGTGCTAAATTGGGTATTAAGATATCTCCAATATCTTAATAAATTACACATTTATTATATTCTAATGATGTATTATTATTCTCAAATGCTTCTATGAGAGCAGCTCGTTGTATGAAGAAAATTTTGAGGGATTTGTGTGGTTGGACCGGCCAAAAAGTGAATAATATGATATCTCAAATTCTATTTGGAAATTCAATAAAGAAAAGGTGCAAGAAGAAAATTTATAATAAGTTGCGGTTCATGATAGTGAAAGAAATGCAATGTCTTGGTGTGAAGATGGCGTTAAGAATGCTTGTAAGTTTTGATTTCTAAATCATTTTAGGCCATGCGTTAGAGAGGCTAAATGCATGGGGAAATAGATGTCTTTCGTTGGCGGGAAGTGTTCTTCTCATAAAAAACACTTTTCTTTCACTACCTATTTTTTATCTACACATTCCTTGGTCCCTAAAGGAATACTATATGAGTTGGATAAAATTTTTAAAGATTTCTTATGGCACAAAGACAAAGGTCGGAGAGGCTTACATTATGTTACATGGGAAGATCTTTATAAACCAAAGTTGCTTGGTGGATTGGGTCTTCATTCTTCAGTTGACAAGGTGGGACCTTTGAGGTTTATAATTACTTAGAGATTCATTCAGAATCCACATTCTTTATGTAATCGATCTATCATTTCAAAATATGGAAGTGATGTGTGGAGTGGTATAGTTAAAAGAGGAAACTCTCCATCTTGGAAATTTCTGGTGGATGGAGCTAAGTATTTAAAAAATATTGTTAGATGGAAGTTGGTGAATGGCAATAAAGTGAGTGTCATGAATGATACGTGGATCTTTGATAAACCTCTCAGTAAATGGCCTACTTATGTTAACTGTGATGAACTCCATAATGAATCATTTCAGAATTTTATTTCAAATGATGGCTTCTGGAACTGTGTGGAGTTGCAAAAAGTTTTTCATGAGGAGTTGGTTTAGGTTATCAAAGAAATTCAATTATTTGCAGATTTTGATAAAGATTACATTGAGCTTATTAATCAACATTCGAGTAAATCAATCACTACTCTGTCATTTGAAGCTTCAATGGAATTTGACTTGCATCAGAGGACGACGGAACAAAGCCAAATCGAGACATTGAATTGTATTAAGAAATTCAATCTTATTCCTAAGGCTGAATTGTTTTGGTGGAGATTATGCAAAAATGCTCTCCCTACTAACTCCTAGGAACTTATTGCAATCAAATAGATGTGCTAGAGGGTGTCATGAGGTGGAGAATCAAGAGCATGTGGTTGTTCGCTGCATTCAGTTGCTTCAGATTCTGCATAAGCTTCGTGAATGTGGGTTTCAAGTTCATATCTTTGATTCTTTTGCAAACTGTTTAGAGGAGTTGAAAAGAATGTCTATAATTAATTTGTATATTGTCAAATTATACTGTACAATAGTCTATTTTTCCTGGAAATGGCAGAATCAAATAAAGCTAGGATTGGCTACATTATCTGTTAATTTTTTGTCTTCGAATGTTTTAACTTCCATCATGCAGCCGTCAAAGAATCCAATACTGGAAAACATGGATGCTGATCTCCGGTTGGAGTCCCATGATGTTTGGCATCCTCCACCTCTAGATTGGATAAAGTTCAATGTGGATGCTTCCCTTATGGAATCATATAATGCGGGTATTGGAGTTATTATTAGAAATCACAAGGGGCGGTTTCTTCGTGCGTTTGGTAAGCAGTTGAGGCATTGGGATGTAGCTACTCTTGAGCTACAGTCTATTCTCTTACTTAGAGAGCAATTGCAAAGGTGGATGCTACAATACAAGGGTGTAATTATTGAAGGAGACAATGCTAATGTGATTAAGTGGTTTCATGAATCCTTGAAGAAGGTGAAATGACAGCATTATGAAAATTGGAATAAAGATTTGATTTTCCTTAATGATTTTAATAATGGTATGTTTCATTTGATTTCTAGAAATTGTAATGATGTAACCGACTATTGTGCTACTTTAGCTTTAAGTAGTAGTTTTGTTTTTTATTGTTTTTCAGTTAATTGCATTCCTTCTTCTTTGTTTTATTTATTGAAAGGAGTGTGATAACTATCTTTAGTTGATTGTAAGTTCTTTTTATTTTAATGCAAATTACAACCTTCAAAAAAAAAAAAAAACTTCAATGTTTGGGATTTCTTGTTGTTGACTTGATTAGGCCAATTCAATTAAAAGAGTTGAATAGATAAAGCATAGGATGCTTAAGACATTGAAAGTGGTTTGTATAGAATAAATAATTGAATGAACTGGAACCTGTTTGAGCTACAAGTAATGTAGTTTAGATTGGTTGTAAAATTGGGAAATGTTCCACCCTACAAGTGTCTTGCATAGTGACTCTAACATCTTCATAAACAACCATGGATAAATCTGGCCTTTTTCTGGGGGAATGATTAAGACCTTCTTAAGTGATTCAAAGGTTTATTTTTGGAATCGTGTTAATGTTGTAGTTAAAAAAATTCTCTTTTGACTCTCCAATCTTTCCCTTAAGTGTTGGAGTTTGTGGCTGGCGATTGTCTACCAAATGATCTTCCATCAACTTGGCCAATTGAGAAGAATGCAATAGTTATTGCAGATGTAACATATGCATTGGATAGCTCCTCAAACTAATTGTTAAAAATCTTGCAGTATAGATTGTTATTACACCTTGGCATGCTCCCTTTTCAAGTTTAATATAACTAAGAACCAAAGCATTATGAAATATTTTCTTAAAAAAGGAATCCATGAACTTATTTATCTATTGAGCTGTATCCATTAGTACTAACTTGGTGCCGGTCCATCCATGTAGGGCAATGCATCTGTTAATTTTTGCTTTTCCAAAAGGTTGTAATAAGAGAAGAATTAGTCAGGTTCAAACAACCAACTTTGAGATTTATTACCCTTAAAGTGCGGTATATCAATTTTCACTGCCTCTAATGAAGATCTTGGATTGTGGTCGAAAGACATTCATGAGCAGACCCTCCTCGTTATTACCATTAGGCTTCAGATGTTCTGATCGATCAATCCTCTCTTCAATTGAGGATAAAAGATGTGACACATTGTTGAGGATCTTTGTCATCATTGATACCAGCTCCTCTACCTTGTCTAGATGTCTAAGACACTGCTTGAAGATTGGCAACTCTCTAGTTTCCATCAATGAAGAGGCAAGTAGTTTTAAGTGATGAAAAGTGGTCAGCAAGAGTGGAGCTAGGTTGGGTTTGCACCGAGATGCTTCTGTTGAGGGATCTTTCTCTTCTTCTCCAATTCCTATTGTGCACTTAACTATCCTCCCTCAATAGAAGTCGACAAATAATCGTGGACATCAATATGGATCCGCTTCTCACAAAGGCCAATCTAATTTCAATGGCTTTTGATCTCAGCTCGATAGTATTTCCGAAGTATCTACATTACTAGCTGGAAAAGCTATCATTGAATGATCCGCACATATTAGTGATGAGGAGGCTCATGCCGATTTGTTAGAGTATATTCCTTAGCCAAAAATTTTAAAAAAGTGGTCATAAAAAATGCTGATCTAAGAGGTGAGTGAACCAAGCATGCAAAGAGAATCAAAAGTTGGCAACAATATTAGAACTTAAACCTCTTGAAGAAGACCTTAAGCGTCAAGAAGCAAACATTTGTAGCTTGATCAACTATTAGAGCTAAATACCAAGTAATGACTCCTTATGCTTACAAAATAATGGGCATTGAAACTCTTATAGAAGAATTTGGTGGTGTTGAATTGATAGAATTAATAAAATAGGTTTTGTTTTTTTGCTTAAATGCTTCATGTAATATTGCTTAGTAGTGAATGTTTGTAGAGATAATTATAGCTTCCAACAGAGATATGAGTGCATGTGTTTTACATGTTTATCTAGTTTACATTTAGTGAGTGTTATTATTTTTTTATTTTTTTAATCTAATTAAGTGTGGGTATTTTGTTTGTTTAAAATTTCAGTAATTTCCTAGCGTCCCCCCACCCCCTCCTCCGTATAGGAGGTCGTGTAGGCACTTGCTTTTCAATATTTCCGGTTGGATAAAAAATGAGATATCGTGAGGTATTTGTGTGTTCATTTTTCTTGACCAGATCAAGGATATAGGTCTTCTAGGTGGATCAAAGATATAATGACGGCTCTTTGACACCTATTGTTGAAGTAAAAAAGAGAGAAGTTTATACCTCTATGCACGGTGAGTGACGACGACGTAGGAATTTGGCAAGTTAGAAACCCTTCTTTTATTGATTTTTTTGTAACCATGGATAAATATATGAGGAATAGGTGGTTGGATATGGAAGCAAGATCGGAGGCTGGGTATGTTGGGTTGGACGGGAGCGGGAGATTATGTCGGATAGGTCGAGTATGGCTCAATTGAACATGAGGACAAGTCGTAGACTGAAGTTTTGTGCCAGTTACAGGTTGAAGTTGTGTGTTGAGGAGGAATCGCAGGACTAGGGCGAAGCTCGGATCAGATCGCAGGACGGGCCGACACGGTCGTATGGCGATTTAGAACTGTAGAGGTTAGCTTTTGCGTGTTGAGTCCGGTCGAGGGCGGGAGGTTTGGGTGGAATCGTTTGCGACAAAGGGAGATGGGATTGGTTGCGACTGAGGGAGACACAAGGGAAGGAGTCAGGCTCGAAGGTCTTCCTTCAGCTTAATGTGTTTGTGTGAGAAATAGAGAGATGAGAAACAAAGGTTGAGTGTGAGGGGGACCGGGTGATTTCATTCGTGAGAGTTGAATGGAGAGTGAGAGAGCAGGCTAGTAGGTTTTGTGCCTAACTGGGAGTTACTTGAGCAAACTGTTGCTTCGTTTGAGAGCGAACCATTAAGGTGGGGCCAATCGGGCTGGTTAGTAGTCAACAAGAATCACAAATGATCTAGGGTAGGAGATTAAAGTATGATTCAGATCTTAATTGGGCTCTGATACCACTTTTGTCACGACCCATCCCAGATGCTCGATCTAACAAGGCGGGTACGAAAAGTCGGACCATAGTACATTTCTAAAAGTATTAAATAATTCATCATCAAAAACTTTTCTATAAACTAAAGAACCACTAAACACAAAAATCTAATTTACCTGTTATCATTTGCACGGCGTCTTCTGTAAACATGTTCTTCTCTTTCTGTCATTTCTTTTCTTTAGGAACTTACCTGAAACATTTAAACTTGTGGTTTGAGTTTACTAAGTAAACTCAGTGGGTAACTATATAAATTTATCATTATAATATAATTTAACATATATTATATCCTTTCTTAATCGTGTTTCTTTCAATTCATTATCTTAATACTTCTTTGAATATTTTCATTTAAAATAATTTGAAGCATTTGTTATCTTTAATATTTCATTTATATTTCATTTTCCCATTTAATTTGCACAGGAGCACCGTCTCAAAGTACCCAAAGGTACAACCTTTTCCATTTGATTTCCTTTTCCCATTTTCGTAGAAATTTCCTTTTCCTTTTTCGTGCACGAGTACGGCGTCCCCAGCCAGTACCATAATGGGGTGACTCCTGTCGTTTTCAATACCCTTTTCCTTTATCTTCTTTTCTTTTCTTTTCTCATTTCATCGTTATTGATACAATTGCATACAACACATCTTACTTGTATCTCATAAATATTACTTAGTCATTTGCATATACGAATCATGTACATGTGTATTTTTCTTTCTAAACTTTACTTTCTATTTCTTTGATATACTCATAACATATCCTTTTTCTTTTCTATAATTGTACTCATACATGTCGTTGCTTATTTTAGTTAACATATTTCTCAAAATAGAGAAAATCATAACATCTATCAATTTGCGATATACTTCTTTCTAAAGAAATAGAATGAAATAAAGAAATTAAACTTTTAAAATACCCACTTGAAACTTTTCAGGTCTCGAGCGAATTACTTTGATCAATTTCTCTTCAGAATCTCGCGGGATCAACCATACAACTTGATCTTTCACTTTCTAAAACCCTAAAATTCAAAATAACTTTCATTGTAAACTTAAAATTTAATACATAATAAACTATTAAAGAATTTTCCCGAATGAATTTCTCAACTCTCAAATCCTTCTCCCAATTCCTTTTTCTTCGCTAAATCCTTCCTTCCTTCAAGAAATATATCGTCACTTTAAACGAGTAGGAGGAAGAATTTATAGGAAAATCCAAAGAAATTTCAACAAACCTTTTTCCTATTTTCCCGTCGTTTCTTCCTTTCGTTGCAAATCTCTCCAAACTTCTTCTGTATAACAATAAGAACGAAAAGGTTTGTTTTTCTTATCCTAGAAGCGATCATTTGCTAAAATTGAAAAGCGAAATTACCTCGCTCTCGCATGAACCCCGGTTCGCCCTTCATGTTCGCGGCGAACTGCTGTTCCGCGAACTCTTCTGTTCGTGTATAATAGGTTCAGGCGGCGTGGGTTCACTTAACCGGCCGGATGAAGCCGGTTTTATTACAATCTCCCTCCTGTATTTAATTTCGTCCTCGAAATTAAAATCAATCAAAAGAAAACGTACCTTAGTTAAATAAATGAGGATATTGACTCCTCATTTCAGCTTCTCGCTCCCAGGTGGCATCTCTTTCTAATCCATGTTTCCATAAAATCTTCACAAAAGGAATTGCCCTATGCCTCAGTTGTTTTACATCATAATCCAGTATTCTTTCAGGTTCCTCAACATATCTCAAATCAGGTTGCAATTCAATGGATTTTGACTGTATTCTTTTAGAATCATCTGAGACATACTTCGAAGCACTGATATGTGAAACACATTATGAATTCCTTGCATATGTACTGGTAGATCCAATCTGTATGCCATATTCCCAATCTTTTCAATAATTTCATAGGGACCTATGAATCTTGGGCTCAACTTCCCTGTCTTTCCAAACCTTTG